GGGTTTAGGGTTTAGGGTTGATTTACGGTTGTTACTACTCTGATTACTACTATGACAATGACTTATTACAATTCTTGCTGTTACTGTTCTCGCTATTTTGCTATTCATACGATTACCATTATTACGATTATTGCGATTATTACTATTGTGACAATTATTGCTAGTGTTACTAGTATTGCTATTGCTGCCGTTACTGCTATTGTTATTACTGTTATGACTACTCAAAACCCAACTTTGGGAAAAGCCTTCTGTTTGCTTTTTGTCTGAGCCACCGGGTACGCGGGAAGACATGTGGCCCAGGCGTTTGCCCACCACTGTAGGCGATGATTCGGGGCCGACAGCCTGGCGTAGGATGTTGAGGGATGCATTCATTGACAGGGTGAAGAGCTCCATCCATGCCGCCCCAATCACCGATGGCGAAGAAGTGAGCCACCCCTGACTTGCCCACTCTGATGGTCGGCCATTCGATGCCGTTGTAGGAGAAGGGTGTGGCGGGAGGGCCCATGCTCCACTGCGAAGAGTTGAGACTCTCTTTCGCAGCACTCAGGCTCTTGGCATGGCGCTGCAGCTCAGAGATTGCACACTCTTCGCTGTTGCACTCATCATCCTTCTGCAAGGCGCCCTCCTCGCTGGCTTGCCCTATGATGGCAAATGCTAGGCCGAGAGCCAGCTTCGCGAAAGCCATGGACACAATCGGCTAGGTAGTAATCACGAAATTGAGGCGTTATTGCTTGAGCCTGCCTACGGGAAGTTCAAGCCTTGGCCATATCTTGCTTGCACATCAAGTGCCCCAAAACTCCCAAATTCAACCTCATTCTCGAATGTGTGTTTGTTTGAGTCGCCGTTTCCTGGACTCCTTATTACGCTTCTAAAACCCCTTACATATTCTTAGGGCCCCCACGAACTCGCCCACCTGACCTTTCAAAAAGTCTGGGGTCCGGCGCTGTCCGCAAGGGCAGCGCATTGGCACATGGCAAGCCAGCGGCCTGGCAAGCGACAAACACCCTTTCAAAGCATATTATGGTATACTATACTATAGTATATTGTGATATAATGGTATATTATAGTATATTATAATATAGTATAATATATTATGGTAAAATATGGTGAAAAGAAAATGGAAACTACTATACTGGGTTATAGGGGCTATTATAGGGGTTATATAGGGATAATGGAAAAGAAAATAGAAACTACTATTATGCTATTCTGGGCTACAGGGGTTATATAGCGATACATGATGGTAAACTATGGTATGATATGGTATGTATATTAGAAAAGATCAAAGCATATTATATAAGTTATAGTATATTATGAGGTTATATCGGGATAATGGAAAACAAAATTCAAACTACCGTTTAGGGTTTAGGGTGTCGGGGATGTATGTACAAAGGGGTACACACGAGTTACATACATACGGATATGTGGAGCATATGCGATTCCAGGATTCACGGTTGGAGAATGTAGGCCACTTGAATAAAACGTCTCGCCTCCCCAAGCTCTGCAGAGTTTGCACACCGCACTTCAAGTCCGAGATCAAAAACCTGCAATGTAATCTCAAATACGGATCCCAGATAGGCCCCTTGACAGGGACAATACTTAATCAAGAAGGTGCAAGGTGGCCACATCGAACCACTGCAAAATGCTCTGAACATATCTATGCAATCCCCATGCGTTGAGGCATTTGCGAGGGTGCTCCACAGCCTTTCATATGTGGAGTAGACTGGAAAGCCTGACCTCAAACTGAACCGGCAAACGATTTCACCCCATGTCATACAATCTAGACCCAAACCGCAAACACTAAACTGACTGAAACCCTAATCTAAACCCTAGATCATCCTAAATCCCGAACTGCCTGAACTCTAATCCCTGAACCCTGAAGCCGCGACTGTAGATTTGGGTTGCTGTTGAGGATCTTGTTTAAGTCTACTATGGTAACTTGACGTAACCCCTACGCAGCCCAAGTTTGCATCTCATTTTCCATGATCCTTCCTACTTGTTCTCCATTATGATTATTTAACCCTGAACCCCAAGCCCTATATAACCCTCTATACTTCCATGTAACTTCTCTATAAAGCTCTAGTTGAATGCCTCAACAGCAACCCAGTAATTGCCCCTAAACCCTAAACCCTATACCATAAACCCAAAAAACTAAGCCCTAAACCCTAAGCCCTAATCCATAAACCCTAAACCTTAAACCTTGGCGAAACCAAGCCTCCTTGCGGCATGGGAACGCCGGCAGCGACGGACGCAACACCTGGCCAAGGGTAGCTCATAGGGGTTTAGGGTTTTTGGGGTATGGGATTTGGGGTTTTGGGTTTAGGGCTTAGAGTTTAGGGTTGAGGGTCTAGGGTTTAGGGTTTTGGTTTTAGGGCTCAGGGTTCAGGGTTCAGGGTTTAGGGATTAGGGCTTAGGGTTTTGAGTTTAGAGGAGCTTACTAAAGTAAGATTTACTAAGACAGGATTTCGGGTTTCAAGGTCTATGGGGCCATGGAGAACAGAATCTAATGGGGCTTGGGGTGGCTCATGGGGTTCTAGGGGTGCGTTGTAAGGGTTTATGCAAATTCTATAGGGTTTAGGGTTTAGGGTTTAGGGTTCAAGTGGGATGTTGCGTGAAAATTCTAAGCGAATGTCTTGTTCTGCTCTTGCCTTAGACAATCTGTATTTACCTGGGCTTGAACCTTCAGGGTTTAGGGTTTACAAGCTTAAGGGTCAAGGTCAGTGGGGGGCTTGGGGATTGACATCTAAGAGGGCTTAGCATAAGGTACTCTCGGGTGGTCAGGCTTTAAGATTCACGTCTCAGCTTCAAGGTGCGGGTAAGGGGGCAAGGATTACAAAAAAAAATCCATCACCTCCCTGATACTTCACCATGCCCCTGACAAATTGTATTTGCCTCCTGGATGTTCTGAGGCAAGCACTTTTCAATTCAAGACGAGGGGCCATCGCCTCCATGGCACCATCCAAGCCCAAATGCTTCCTATGTGGTGCACCCGAGAAACTGACAACAAAAACATACCACGAGGACATTTTCATGATAGGAATTCCATTTCCCTACATAACCCTGGCTTCCATCTCCTTATCCATTTAACTCTCAATTATTGGGTTATATATCCCTATATAAACCTTTAAAGGGGCCTTAGCTTTTCCATTGCATTTTTCGTTGTCTGTTCCATGTGATCCTCCATTATCGATCGGATGTGGCATTCCGCGATCTTTGCAGCTGTCGCTCCCACCTGATCGAGAATGGAGAATCAAATGGAAAAGAAAATGGAAAATGACATGGAACTTGCGTTGACAATCGATATGTCCGACATGTCTCAATGTCGCAAATTTCAGTAGTACGGCGTTGCGAAACTCCCAAACGTTTGCGTACGTTGCGAACAGTTGGCGGGCGCATGCCGGATATTCCCGAATATGAATCTGACACGTTTATATCCAGTAGCCCACAGATTGCCAACCAGTGAAATCAGAACGCGTTCAAGAAAATTACTCAATAGCCCTCTCACACCCGATCCTGAACCGCTAGACCCTGACCAGGGACCAGGGTCCCTTCGGATTGCGCGCAAACAAGGCAGCTGGAAATGTGCATAGCTACGGTATCAGGCTCTTCTCGCCTCGCCAGGCGCTACTACCGAACAAGCATTCCTTGCATAGTGCGGGAATGCCGCTTGCAGCACCACCACCACTACCAACAACAACAACAACAACAACAACAACAAGGACAAGGTACAAAACCAGAACAACAAGAACACTGCAACCGCCACCGCCACCGCCACCGCAACCGATGCGACGGCACCACCACTTCTTATGTCTTTTCTCCTCCTCCTACTCCTACTCCCACCCCTACCCCCACCCTTTCTCCTACTCGTAGCGCCTCTGCTACTGCTGCTGCTGCTCCGCTTATTCCCCTGCCTCCCTACTCCTGAAAACCCCTCCTACTGCTGCCGCTGCTACTACGACGAGTACTGCTCCTGCTCCTGCTGCTGCTGCTGCTGCGTCTGCTACTTCTACTGCTATTGTCCCTAAGCAATTCACCCTAGACACATGGTCTTCCCAACCTGCACCAGAAGTACCGGCATAGGCGACACCTCAGACAATGAACATCCACACACCTGGGAGGAAAAAAGATGCGGGCTAAGGCCATCAATGGACATCTAGCCCTGTCTAACAACCTTGAAAGTGCACTTCCCCCTAGGATTCAGGGCGGTAAGACCACAGAAGCCACGACTGGATGACAAGCCTTGCCATTAGGAGCGCTGCTGCCCGGTGCTTCCACTTTCTTCAGCTTCAACATAAAAATTCCAAATGTTCCTAGACACAGGAGAACGGAGAACTCTCAGCATGAGCAGCCACAGGATAACCTATAGTCCCCCTTAAGTAGATAGAATATGGCTTCGGGTACATTATGATAAGATACCCATATTTATACCCCATATGCTATCTACTTAAGGGTGATTATAAATCCGTAGCATTGTTTTAAGTAACGCAAAATGCTGTCCATTAACGGCCTGACTGACAGCCCTCCAGCAAGCACTTACCCCATGGCATCTTGCGCGATATAGCCTCTCAAAGCATTCTTCAAAGGGGAGCCCTCCGTCATCAATATCCTCCAAATATTTGATATGCCTAAACCCTCAAGCTTAAACCCGAAACCCTAAACCTTGAACCCCAAACCCTAAACCCTGAAACCCGAAACCCTACACCCTGAACCCCAAACCCTGAACCCTGAAACCCGAAACCCTACACCCTGAACCCCGAACCCTAAACCCTGAACCCCAAACCCTAAACCCTTAGACTCTAAACCCTTCTTCTGCTGAGAGCCCTGGCCGCAGGCTGAGGTTGTTGAGGAGCAGGCTCCTACCACAGCGATCTATGGGGTGTCTCAAGATATGAAGTAGAGTGTCGTTCGGGTTTACGGTTAAGGATTTAGGGTTTAAGGTTTAGGGTTTGGTTGTTGTATAGGGAATTATACAGGGGAGTATTATTTGGGTTTTTTTGAGGGGGTAATAGGAGTTCATGAGATTATAGCTCACAGGGACTCTGAGGCTCCAGAAGAAAACATGTGGTCCATCGTAAGAGTGATGTAAGTCTGGATTTCATGTGCCAGGCATGCAGGTGGATCTTGTAAAGGTGAAATACAGAAAGGTGTCGCCACTGGCAAAAAAGCCCCAACGTAATGGAATCGACCTTTGACCTTTTGAGCCCCTGAGTGTACAGGGCATGAGTAATAGCAATAATTTTGCAAAATACTGGTGATATGAGGCATTGTCTACACTCCTAGTATCCCCCTTAATGACCCCTACATGCTCCCCTGTAATCCCCTGCATGACTCCCCTTTACAGGAGTTTAGACTATGGCTCATGTAATGCCATAACCATAATCAGAATAAGGCAGCCAACCTTGCCTACAGGCCAAGACACCCCCGGTTTAGGGTTTCGGGTTTAAGGTTTAGGTAGCAGTATGGGTCAAAATCTAAACTCCTTAAAGGGGGCTGTGTAAAGGATTACATAGGCGACTCTTCTAGGGGCTATCAAGGGGGATACTAGGAGTTTAGAATATGGCTAGTATAATAGACCTGGCCTATGTTACTGGTCCCGAAACGGGGGAATCATATATAGAGACCCGTATCATAGTAGGAACCTCACTGTGGCGTGCACTTCAATGGATTTAGGGAAATCCCCATATGTTA